TGGAGAGGTGCATTTTTGTTTTCTGGCTATTTCCAGCTTTTCAACTCAAAACAAAATATGCTTTTTAATACAGAGTTTTTTTTTTAATACCCATTCACTCAACTATATTAAAAGTGAGTTTCTGTTAAGGCTTTCCCTTTGACAGGTACACTGAAGTGCCTGTTAGTTAAGAAGTGACAGTTTGGTGCCATCTTAACGCTCTTAAAGAAAATATTGTAGTGCCTTGACCATTTGCTCTTTTCCATCCAGTCTGCAACTTACAAAAGCATAATGTGAACCAGCTTGTTACATGAGTCCTACAGAATATTATCCTTGGAGCAGTATATAGCAGGCCCCCACCAGACAGGATGGCAGAAGGAACATGCTTGATAGGAGAGACACGCCAGGCTTTGTTGAAGCACAGTGAAGTCACTTTTAGGCAGTTACACACGATACGTCTTCACCTTCTTTCTCATGTGCATCCATACGGTTGCCTAATAGGACTGCATGAGAATTTATAAGCATCTTTGCACATGGGGCAGGTCTAGGCTGCCCATGAATTGTTTAGAGGTGTTACAAGTTAGGGAAACAGTTTATTTTACTAGCTCCTTAACTTAGTCACACGGGGCTGTTGACTCAGCATCAGGGTTGACCAACCATGGCTGCAAGTTTCAGTGGACCCCAGCTACACACGCTCACTCAGACAGGGCTGACCACTCACTTGGGTGCAGCTGGAGACGTGTGGCTATGCGGAGACCACGAGGCCTATGAAACCCAAAATGCTTACCTTCTGACCCTTTACGGGGGAGGGCTGCCTGCCCGTATAGGTACTCAGAAAGGACAGGCTCACGCACCGCTCGGTTTCCCTACCCTGCAGGCTCCCAGCAGGACACTGCCTCCGGGATGGATGCAGCTGGTACCTGACTGCCGTCAGGGACTGGGTCTCCACTGAGGCTCCTGTACAGGGGCCAGTCTCAGCCTGCGCCCGGAACGCCCTCAATAGGACAGACATGCCGCTGTTCTCTGTCTCAGCTTATCTCCCAAGACGCCTTGTTCTTGTCATGGGTGGACTGTCTGATCTATTGTCCCATCCGAGTTGTGGTCCTCAACACACACAGACATACACATCCCCCCCAAGCTTTTATTGTAGAGTCTGCCCCTCTCTGGTCCACCTGCCTCCTCCCACCCACTGGACATACAGGAGAAGTGGGGGCTGCCCTCTCCTCCCAGCACAAACACAGAAACAGGCTTAACTTGAGCAGGCTGGAGTCTGCTCTCTTGCTTACAGAAGACGAAGTTTAGTAATAGTAGAAACCAAAGTAAACTACTATTCCAGCCTTAGAGAAAAATACACTTTAACTCATTTTCTCAGTACAGAATATTCTAAACCAAAACATTTGCGTAGTATTTATATTTCTAAGGTAAAGTGATGACAGTATTTCTTAGTGAATTCCTCTTCACGTCCACCCTTGGCTGTCTATCAAAATAGCTTTACAAAGTAAATTATGGTTATCATGATAGGGTCAGTTTCTTTAGTTTGTTAAAAAAACCCAACCAAACAAAACAAGTTGCATGACTCTGGGAGTCTGAAGGGCTCCAGGACTTCGGGCACTTGGGTCTGTGGACGTCACCACTCCCAGATTTCAACACCAAAGGCCCCTGCCCACCACCTTTACCTCTTGTTTTCCTTAGGTTTGGGGGCAAGACAAGGGAACAGCAGAAGCGTGCTCTCTCGAGGCCATGTTTCCTAGAGTCTTCAACTGTGACAAACATTTCTCTGATTATAATAGGACAGCATTCTCGTTGGAGATATTTGCAAACACAGGAATAGAAGAGGAACACATTTCATAATTCCATCACCCAAAGACTTTAATCTCAGCTGCAGACATATATCCAGCCTAGCAAGATTGTTAGCACCTGAAAGGTATGCCTTACATCCACCACAGAACCACTGGTTCCCTCACTTCCCAGCCACACCCCATCCTGCACAAATGAACGGCAACTGAGTAGGGAATCTGAAAACGGGTTTCCCTTCCAGTATTTTAATGAAAGCATAAAAATGCTGTGTTGTCACAGCAATTTTAGCAATAATCTATATCAGTTCTCAGTATGTTTACAAACTCCATTTTTTTCAGAGTAATTTTAGTATGTATGTACTCAGAAAAGGGTTTCCACATCAGTGAGTTCACCTGCTAATAGGCAGATTAACCCACATGGAACACCCTGCATCATGAAATAACAGCCGTACTGTGTGTCCATGACAGCAAGCGCTCAGGCCCCGTGCAGAGGGGCTGTGTCTTTCCTGTCAGCGTCCTTTGATTTGTTCCCCCCTCCCCTTGTGGAACACGTGAACCAGAGAAAGACTGAGGGGAGGGGGATGGCTAGATAGACAACACAGTTTTTCCAGAAGAACCAGCCCTTCAGTTAGTCCTCCAGAAAGCACTAATTATATGTAAACTTTCTGGTTCTTGAGTGCTAGCTTAAGCGATGGTGTAATTTTTTCACAAAGTCAAATGAGTCAGTCTTACAAATTATCAAAAATCTAAAACTGATAGGTTCTGATCAATTGTTTTGTTTCATTTTGTTTTTTTGCAAAAAACATTCCTAGATATTCCCTGATCTTACTGACAGTGGGTTATATTGTACATAGAAATATCCAAGTGTCTTCTAAAGTGGTAATGGGAAAATTGTTTCTTAAAATATTTGTGTACACACACACACACACACATATACATCTAATAAATACTAAAAGATTTAGTTGTTTTAACCAAATACCTAAAATGTTATCAATACAATTAGGGATAAAAGTGATTGCTTGTGCATTGCGGTGTGCTCATATGAAATTTGATTTCTCTCCCTGAAAACTGAATGCAGTGAAACTAGCTGGAACACTCCATGCATTACCTCACTCATCCATTTCTCCCATGTGAACAGACTATACACTGCCTGGGGCCAGTACCTGCTTTTGAAGTTTAAAACATTCTTCCTCAGCATGAGGTTCTCGTTTAGAATTTTTATAACTGGATAGGCTTGAAGTTTGGCATTACTCAGACCTGGAGAGAAATGCCAAAGCAACATGTCCTGTACGCTCAGAAAAGTTGTGCAGGTGGATAGGCATCTTTTTAATACAGCTGTCCAAAATAAACGGTATTTCAGTTCAATTTGGTACAAAGGATGGAATCATTTCTAGCTGCCTTGACTGAAATTTACAACAGACAGACATGTTGAGATAAATACCGAGTGCCCCACGTGCCCCTCGTATTTGTTTGGTAAACCCCTCAGACACCCGTGGGGTGCCTGCAACCTCTGGCTTGACAGATACAGAAGATGTGTACCAGGGAGGCGCCCTTCCTGAGTTCTCAGAGAGGAGTTAGTGGACACGATTGGATTTTAACTCCTTTACTGCAAGGCTGGGTAACTGCAAGTGAAAGGCCCTGACTGCAGCGGCTGCAGAGAGGAACCTGGCTTCTCATGTCAACGGAAGGGAGCCCCTTGCTTGAAAACTTCCGTCTAATGAAGAAAAAAGTGAGTGATAGAATTCAGTGACTTTACATTCTGTAGTCCTACACGCCTCAGTCTGGTGCCTGTCAGACCAGTTATTTGCCAAAGTGGAAGTGGGAGTGAACAGGTTTTTCATGGGAGGTTGATGGTTTTCAGAAGCAATGCTGATGGTGAGCCAGGAAACAGGACACCTGTTGGTAGGATTTCCAGATTGGCCCCTGACTCCAGGAACTGGGGAGAGTTTTCATACTACAAAGATCTTACGTGCATACAGTCCCCGTTAGATCCATTATTCACTAGAAACACATGTATCTTCTCAAAAATTGATGCATGTGACTGCTCTTTTCTTGGTGGTTCTGGGAATCTTTAGAAATAGAAACCACCCTCCTACAGCCCCATGCACTCTTAAACAAAAATTTCCTTATTTCAAGAACTCTTATTTGAAACAGAAACCAGGCTTTCAGCTTGAAAACTTCAGGAGCCTGTGAGATTGTGTTTCTGCATTTTGTTAAATGGCTCAAGCCAGACCCTTGGGAGGTGTGTGTGTGTGGCCCTGGCTTTTGCTGGCTTACCTGCTCTAAGAGTATTGTACCTCATGGGAAGTAGAGGGAACTCTTTCCCAGAGGCTGAGAAATGATGATAGGCCTGCTCAAAAAAACAAAAAACAAAAAACAGCTTAAAACCACAGTTAGCTGCTGATGGAACATTCCAAGAAGAGCAGAGGAAGAACAGAATTGGGCTGAATACCCAGGAAGGGAAGGGCGGGCTGTACCTTCAGACTGACAGGTCTTACCCCACCTGTTCACTCCACCTGCTTTTTCATTCTCAAGTCCTTTATTTGGAACTGGCCAGGGCCCTTGTGGTCCTGCTGGTGTGTGTGCTCCAGCAGCCTCTCATGTGTTCCAGGCCAGTGCCTCTCAATGTCTCGACTGCAGGCCGGCACCTTAACCGTCCATATATGATGTGCGTGTCCAATGTGGTCCATCTAAAATGCTGGTTACGACTCCGCCGGTTAGTTTCACATCCCGTAGTGGCTCAGCTGGCGGCGTAAGCAGCAGCCTGGCTTCCGACACTGCTGCACACCTCTGACACCTCTGATATTTTACTGTCTTGTTCTCTGGATTTAGCATCTCAGGATGCTGTTTCTTATTTTGTTGAGACCATTACAGTTTCAATTTCTGTTTTAAAACCTGGGCACATTTAAATTACTTATCAGCCTTGCCATGGTCTCCTTGACAAAGCATTTAAAGGTCTGTCGTTTCTTGTCTGGCTCACATCTACCTTCCAATGCCTGGACCTTTTATAATAAAGGATGAAAAGGAAACAGATGTAAAAAAAATATTGTCTTAAATGGTAATAATCCAGCTTCAGCTTACAGGAAGTCACTGACGTAGGACTTCTTTTTGAAAACAGCTTGGCTGAGTTGCTGCAATTTGAAGGTTACAGACTATTATTAACTTAGTGAAGTGGAACATGAGACATACAAACATGTTTTCCAATGTGTTTAAGGAATACAGACGTTTACTTAAATCAGGTTGCATTTATTAAAAGCAGAATACAAAATACCTTGGAATTCACAGATGACCCACTACATGTTTATCCCCTAACAATTAATTCCGAAGAAAAGTCAGTCATTTCAAGGGCGGCAACGACAGTTTTCAGTAAGAATTCCACCTGTGATGGCAGCCGGCATTCATGCCAGCTCGGAGGCCTCCATGCATCCCTCCAGGTTCTCGACCATTAACAGCCCAAACCGATTGCCTCCCTCGTACCAACTTCCCATGTCTGAGATGGCCCCCACTCTGTTCTTGGACCCGCTGCTGCCTTGTTTCTTTTGCCTTTTTTTTTTGGAGTTTGACTTGCTCTTTGGTAGGAAGAGTTCAGCAGGGGCACAGGACCTCGTGGCGTGGAACAGGCACTCGTAAAGCTGCTGCGCCTCGGGACACCCGCGCAGGAGCCCCTCCGCCGAGGCTGATGTCAGCAGGCGGCGGCACAGCCCGTGTGCCAGGCTCCCGCTGTACACGCTGCTCAACGGGAGAGGAGAGGGTGTCGTTAACGCCAGGTCTGGTGCCGGGACGATGCTGCCCCGGCCCACCGGCCCATCCCATACTGAGTGTGTCCCGCCTCTAACATCTTTCTGCTAAAATGACTTAAGAATAGTCTGTTTCTTGAAGGAAGGAACTGAATTGTTGTTACAAACATTATTTCTTGGCTGATATTTAGAACTTTTTGTCAACAAATTAAGTGATGGATGCTTGCTGGTTCTGCAATGAGCCCATAGCCAAGCAGGCCTCTTAACACTTCAAAGAAAAGGAACTGAAAATGCCTTTGGAAATAACAAACAGGCAGTCTTGAAATACGAGAAAACTTAATCACATCATTTGCAAGGTTACTCATTCACTTGGATTAATGAAAACCTACTTCACAAATGTAAGTCGGGACTGACTGGAAGCCACAAATTTATTAATTTACTGCCAGGGTTGGGCAGTGGTGCCTTAGAAACTGCTGCAGAACCATCCTTTAATCAGCGTACATTTAAAAAGCCTCGCTATTAACGCAACATTGTAAACCGACTATACTTCAATTTAAAAAAATTAAAACAATGGAACTGTTTGAATAAATAAAATATGAAGCCTTGGTCACGCTGAGATGCAAGGACAGTCCTGCTGACACCACTCTTAAGGGGACTGTTTGGCCTTGTTTTTGCTGTTCTGTTTTAGAGGCACCTGTGGTAACCAGAGAGGATCCAGTCAAGGATGACCCAAATTAGGAAAGGAAAGCCATAAAGAGTCCGGAGGTCAAAGGCCAGCCCGTCTTACTCGGTAGAAGGTTCTAGGGTGTACTGACGACACTACTGCCAGGACGCTTTCACCCTGAGACAGTCACAGGCACACCTGCGTTTACTGTGCGCCTCCTGATGTCACTCATTTCTTTATTCAGCAAATATCTGAGTCCCTGCCATGTGCTGGGACCTGGGGCTACAAGAGTAAACAGCCAGCCAAGTCTCAGCCCCGCCCGACTCGTGGTCCAGTGCAGAGACGCAGCACTGGAATCTAACTCCCTCTCTAACCGTCTCCCTTTCATCTCCCTCCCCCAGCACCCCCGCCCCCAGGAGCACCGCCTGGACCAGGACACGGGCCCGCTGAGCCCGCCTGCTCCTGCCCACCCTCCTGCCATCCTGTCTTCCCACTCGGCTCCTGGCACACAGGCTGCCTCCCCTCATCCTCCGCCCTGGGGAGCCCCCAGCAGAAACCCAGTGGCGTCTAACTGTCCTCTCACTGAGCCGAGGGCTCTGTGACAGCCTCGCACATGGTGGGCATTGAGTAGATATGTGTGCGAATGTGCGGACAAGCTGCAGGAAATGTGATCACAGAAGCAGAGAGTAACGGGGCTGGGTGACTGGAGGCGGAGAGGACTGTGTCCGCAGGAGCATCAGAGAGAAAGAGCCTCTGTAACGGGGCGTCTCAGCGCAGGCCTGAGAGACAGGAGCCAGCGGGTCACATCCCATCACCACTGCGTCTCCTCTCACCTGTACTGAGTTTTAACAATCTGATCCAGTCATGGAAACATCCTTTGGGAATATGGAGCTCAGTATTTTTAAAATCAGTATTAAGCTCTTCAGCTCTAACAGTGATCCAGGACCAGTTATACCAAGATTCATTAAAAAAAAAATCTTCTTTGCTTTATGAGTAGGTGGGAGTGTTTCCCTGTGTGCACAGCTCTGAGCCAGGTCCCGGGACTTACCAGGTGAGGTCGGGCTCCGGGAGAGGTGCAGCCAGCAGCTGGTTGAGGTACAGCCCCATCTGCAGACAGGACTGCCACTGGCAGAAGGTGTGGGCCACGTCCAGGTCCAGCCCCGGGCCCGGCGGCGTCCTGGCCCCCTGCAGCTCCTCGCACAGCGCCAGGGCACCGACCCAGCACTGGCCCGCCTCATCTAGGGAGAAAGAGCCGAGGTCAGGACTTCCAGAGACACCCATCACCCTGTGATTTCCCCATATGTAAAACTTCAAATTCCACAAGAAGGACCGGTTTAAATAACCACAATGCTTTTCTCTTTTGGCTCTTTACTACATTAATGACACTGCAAAAGCTTTTCAAGATATAAACAAATGTTTATACTGAGATGCCTTTTCAACAACAACCTTTTTTCAACCCCAAATTACTGATTTTTTTCCTTAAAAAATTCTCTCTTCCACTGATCTACAACCTGACCTTAAACACATCTGTATCTGAGCTCTCCAAACTGTCGATCTCTCTGTGAAAAATACAAGTTACTGTTAGAAATAACATTCTCTTTACTGTTCTCTTGTGCTAAATTTCCTTAAAGAAATAGCCACGTGTTCAGAACATATTTTAACTTTGGTTTCATGGGAGGAAAACAAGAGTATGACCCACAAAGCATGAGGCCAGTCGCTGACCCCCATCATGGCCGAGGATGAGGACCAGGAAGACGAGCAGCAACCCCCCAGAACATCCACGGGGACCCCGCTCTGAGCCAGACATGCCACCTGGGGCAGCTGGGAAGGAGGGAAAAGGAGGCCCACCTGTCACCCTCAGCCTGCCGGGGTGTGGGGTCCACACCCTTAACCTGCCCCTCCTGCTGGGCTGTCCCCTCCTGACTGCCGCTCTCCCACACAGGGTGTCCTGGAGTCTCCTGTGCTGCTTCCTTCTCTTAGAAACTCATTTTAAAGAGCAAAGGCCAGAGCAGTGCTACCCAGGAGAACCCCCTGCAGTGACGGGTCTGCCCCATACCTGGGCGCCTGATACGGCGGCCTCGCGCACTGGATGTGCAGCCCTTGTACCAGGAAGCTGGGTTTTAATTCACTTTAAACAGCCACATGTGGCCAGCAGCTGTCACATCAGCAGTGCGGTTCTGGAGTGTGACCACTACTACACTCACAGGTGAGACGCAGCGCAGGGGCGCTCACAGTCCTGCAACGAGCGCTGAAGCGCCCCAGTGCACCGACACTCCGCTGAAGGCGGAACTGCCTAACATCCGTTTCCCTAATAGAGAAGTTACAATTTCTACCACCACTACTTACATACTAATTGAAACTTATAGTGGAGGAAAAAGGGAAAACAGCAAGAATGTTTACTGTGATTGTGGGTCGGGGGAAGTCTCCCCGAGGGGCAGCTGTGCAGACGTTCCCAGTGGTGTGGCTGCTGCTCTGGAGACAGGGACACAAAGCCACCGCAGGTGGCACAGGCACACCCGGCAGATGGGAGCATGGGGCACAGAGTGGGGGACACGGCCTCACAGCCGAGCTCTCAGGGTCCAGCTCTCCGGCTCTGGCCGGCACCAGGAAGTGCTCAAGTTCCTCCCCGAGGAACGGGCGCTTATTCCGGTGCCTCCACTTGGAGGCTCTGACAGAACTGATGGAAGTATAGTCTGAGGCCACCTTTCTGTCTGTCTGTTTAAACTTCCGACTGTACACAAGTAGCATGAGGAAACTCACCCCTGGGATCCCCGGACACCTACCAGGGCCGCGGGCCGCAGCGCGCAGGGGCCCCAGCAGCATCCCCAGCAGCAGGGCCTGGAGGTGATGCAGTCTCGCCTTGGCCTCCGCCTGCTGCAACCAGTAGCAGCTGACAGCGATAGGCAACTTCAAGGAGGCGGGGATGGGGTCCAGGACAGCTGGCCTTACTTTCAGCGCTTCTAACAGGAGGGCCCGCCGGCTCGCCACTGAGAGCTGAAATTGCACACCAGACAACTGCACGTTACTTTGGGACATGAAGAGGCTTTCATATAAATGAAACTGCTGGGTCAGTTTATCTCCCTGTGGAAAAGCGTCAGCCGCACCTAGAACACTGAGAACCTAATAAGGTGCTTAATGAGCAAGGTGACAGGTCTCCTCCCTCTGCACAGCCCTGCTCATCACAGCCCCATGAAGGCGGCTGCATCCCCAGCCTGCCGCCCCCTGGGCAGCTGGTTAAAACCAAGCCCCACCCCTGAAACTGACCCAGGAAACCTGAGGGGAGCCTGGAGTCCGCACCACAACTATTAATCTGCTTTAAGAAACAAAAATCTGTATTCAGCCCCACCCTACTTGCCTGGCAGTACCTCGGCCCCACCTGCTCCACTGTCACTTCTGCCCACTGCAGAAGGCAGGCCTGGATGACAGCACCCTCTGCTGGGGTCACACAGCCTTTTGTCTGTCCGGGTCCTGACTCACGCCCGCGATGAGTGTCTTACAGTCTGTTTTCTCCCACACAGGACTGTCCTGGGTGGGATGCCCACTTCTAGTGAGGGGTGCATTCAAGGGAATGGGAGTGTTTAAGGACTGCCTGCACCATGCGTGTAACCCCCACCCCGATCTTTACTCTGTGCTGTACAGGGTGCGCCTCAGATACAAGGAACTACACAGCGAGGAGGGCCTCAGGCTGCCTGCCAGCAGAAATAATCTTACCTTAATGAATCTTAAGATTTAAGAACCATAAGGGAACTTACAGGTCTCACACTTACAGATAAGGGAATCTTACTGGGACTTCACAATCAAACTTCAAGAGGAAAAAAAGTTGTATTACTAGTGTCTGCACATAGCCAGAAAAGATTTCTTCCTTGACTTTCTGGGAGGATCAGACAGTCTGGCATCTAACACCCAGTGAGTAAAAAAGTGTGTCGACGCTGAACACAGAGATCTTAACATGAAATGAAACACCGCATAACTGACAAAAGAGTTTCCTCATCAAAGTGTGACAGCTTTAATACAGTATTTATAAGTGCTGGTTTTAAGATTTAATATTGTGATAAAAATTTTAAAATTGGAAATATGTAGTTGCTTTCCAGTGACCCCATGGGAAGGAGCATTAAGTACTTACAGTTAAATATACTCCTTATCATCTCAACTGGTAGAAAGACATACCAAACAAAGCTAGAAAATACACGAACTCCTCTCTGACATATAAGCTTGAATTATTGAACTCTCTAGCCAAGTTACAACCTTTACGAATCAAGCAGAGTGTGGCTTTGACCCCAGAGGCTCCCCCCACCACCCACCAAGCACTTGAGCAAGTTGCTGAGCTTCTGGACAGTTGGTCTGATCGCCTGTAAAATGGGCACGGGAGTGAGTCACACCACGTGCTCAAGAGACCCACTGGTCCTGACAAGTCTGCAGAAGAAGCTGCCAGAGGCAGAGGCGCCAGGGAGAGGCTGGTCTTGGCACTGACTTCCCCTCGGACTGACCCACACGCACCTCTCCTCACAGTTAACCTCTCCCTGTTAACTTGAGTGGTGCCCTGTCCGCAGCAACCAGGACCGAGTAGAGACGCTACCCTGTGCGGTCACTGCGGGAATTACATAGGAGCTGGCGTGGCGTTTCCATGACAACAGCGGCACACAGCAGATACAGTAGCAGTATTACCACATCGTTCTAAGAAAGCACAGTGAACAGACACTAGTAGAGTTTCTACGCTGGTACCTGCACGTCTTTGAACTCGATCTGCACCTGATACCATTCAGAATTATCACGGGCTAATCAGAGATAACAAGACTGAGCTAAATACAGGACCCACTGTGCTACCCCATGGACACCAGCCTCAGACCTCAGGTGCGTGTCAGCCGCACGTGGCCAGGAGGACAGTGGGTAGGCTACATGTGGACTCAGCTAGACCTTCACGTGGGGACAAAGTGTCCCAACCCCAGGTCACACTGTACACACAGAAAGTCACTTCTGGATAGACTGCACGTGAAAGGCAGAACATTTTCATGACCTTAGAGCAGGTAATAATGTAAGTAGGTCACAAAAATGATAACCATAAGTTCTAAAAACTTAGACCATATTAAGAACTTCTGTTCATCAAAACACGCAGAGTGAAAGGCCACCCCACAGAATGGGAGTGGCTACTTACAACACAAATTATTTGACAAAGATCCTGTGTAAAGAAATAAAAACAACAGAAAAGCAGGCAAAAGACATTGAACAGAAATTGAACAGACTATCCAGATGGCCAATAAACACAAGAAAAGGTGCTCAAATAAGTCATCAGAGAAATGCAAATTAATACCCACCAAATGGGCTAAAACTACACAACCATCAGGATAGCTAAAAAAATTTTTAAAGGATAGAAAATACCAAGTGTGGGCAAGGACGGAAAGTAAGAGGAACACATCAGCTGCTGCTGGGAATAGTTATTGGTAAAACCACTTTGCAGGGTGACTGGGAACAGATCTTCCAAGCTGAACACTTGCGTACGCTGTGCCCCAGCACCGCCACTGCGAGCGGTCTGTGCAGGAAATGTGCCCATGTCCTCACGACAGCACATGCACCGTGGTCTGCTGGCACGACTCGTGACTGCCCACCTGCAAACCCACACATGCCCTGGAGAACCCGACTATGGCAAATCTCCACAAAGCAGAAACAATACTCAACCGCTCCTGGGGTGCAAATGGGTCTCACCAATATCATGCTGAATCAATGAAGCCAGGCGAAGAACTCACGCTGCATGTTAAGGCGTGAAAGCAGTCGGACTATTCAGCAGTCAGAGGTCAGGACAGGGACCACAAGGGGCACGGGGCGGCAGGGCCTGGGACCAGACACTGAGCTACACCGGCTCTGGAGGGCTGTGACCTATGAGCAGGCTGTCACTTGCGGGGCCTCAGAAGCCATGTCTATGAAGCTGTTACGAGAAAGAAGGGCTCCTGTGTGGAAGGAGGCCAGTAAGACCTTTTCTTTCTTTGAGATCTCATTCCTGTGTCATAAGATTCACTTTTTAAGTGGCTTCAGTTTGTTTACAGCTTGTGCCCCACCACTAATCCCGAATGTTTCACCGCCCCGGTTCCCACCAGTGGTCACACCCCTGCCCAGGAGGCTCGAGGACCTGTCCCACATGAACCATATTCCTCCTGCCTGACCATCACCAATGTGGAGGATAGACAGGCTGGTTCCCGGTCGACTGTGCAGGCCAGGAGCTGGCTACCGACATTCTGGGCTGGGTAATTCCTTGCTATGGGGCTGTACTGCACCTGGTAAGATATTCAGGGCACACTTGCCCTCTCCCCACCAGACACCAGTAGCAACCACGCCCCTTCCCCAAATTGCCAAGTACTGCCAATCCGAAGTGTCCCTAGGGGTAAAAACCACCTCCGTGGAGAACTGATGGTCACACTGCCGTAAGGACTCCTGTGGGGATGCTGTGCTGCGCCCCACTTCCCTGAGCAGGCTGGCACCACCAGTAACCTGGGAGAGCCTCACAGGTCTCAATATTGAGTCAGATCCAAGAACGGGCATCCCAGCTGGTACCGTGAGTTTACCTACATTTAATTCCTAAATTTAATCGTGTTCACAAAAGCAGCGTCATAGCTATTTGTAATGTTAACATATTTATGTACTATTACAAAAAAAAAAAGTACACTGGGATCTGTGAGAATTTCTTTTACCCTGAAAAGGGGACTGGTCTGTTGCTCAGGTTTAAACAATACTGAGTCAGTTTGAGTCATGTTTTCAGTATCAAACTAAGCAAATCATCATGATGCCATAACCTCAAGCCTGGAAAAAAAGGTCCTCGCCAATGAAAATAAAAAATTAGACATAAGCATTGGTACTGATCTTGCTAATTGAAATCTGATGCAGCCTGGGATGTTAGTTATGCCTCTGATCTAAGCCTAAAAGCATGCTTTTTTCCCCCCTGCAGCTCAGAAATTTTTTTTTTTTTTTAGCCACTAACCCCATTCCATTGATGGCTTGTTATCACCAGAGCAGTAATAACTGCAGAGACAAAGCATCCTATGGAAGCACAGTGGGAAAGGCAGATTTGGAGCTACAAGCTCGAGGTCTGAGTCCGAGCACTGAGAACTCCCTGGTGGAGGACTACAGTTGCCTACTTTGAGTCTTAGCTTTCTCAGCTATGAAATGGGGCAATAGAGCGACCAACCTCAGTTCGTTCTATTAGGAGAGATAATATACAGGAAGTCGCTTTATAACCTGTGAAGTGCTTTACAAAAACTGTTGGTATTGTGAACACTTACCTCGGTCAATCTGCTTAAGTCACAATGATCCTTGGGCAGTTCTACTGCAGCAACAATTGATGTTTTGATGTTTTTATGAAACCTCTCCACCTCCCTGAAAGCCAGAGGCTGAGGAGGCGGGGCGTTCCCGGATGTGTTTTCCAGACGGGGGGAAGCATTCACCAGAAGCCCGTAGATGACCTGCCGGATGGGCAGAGAGACTCTGTGGGCGTTTGGTCGCTGCATGTTTTCCACCTGTGTGTGCAGAATGGTCCGTCTCAGCACCAAAGCATCGCTGATGAAGGGGGACAGCTGGCCTCTGGCCAAGGCCGCTAGCACCCACTGCGGTAGACCCAGACCACAGGCGTCCAGGCAGGAGTAGGCACCATGCTGGAAGAAGTCCTGCAGCTTCACCTGGGACTGCAGGTACTCCTCCATGGAGCCGCACAGGAGCTCCCTGACATCTCCTCGACTCTTCTTGGGGAGCTGTTTCAGAACCTGGTTGAGTGCTTCGGCAGGGCCAGCAAAGTGAGACAACCAGTTCAGCAGTCCCAGCACCCGGTGGTGTCTCCTCCCCTTAGAACCTGCAGCTCCGGAGGGAAGGCGTACTTTACTGAGGAACGTCTCCACGACAGGCAGGTTAACGTGGTCATTTCCGCACAGCACCGCCAAGAGAGGTAGCAGAGCTTTATTCATGTTGCTGAAGTGACGGCAGAGTGCATCGAGTGAAAAGCACTTGGCAGGGATGTAGCGGTCTCCGGTGCCCTTAATTGTGCTCACGTTTCTCCACTGAAAGCTGTTCAATGGGCAAAACCCACCTTTCAGGTCAAAAATGCAAAAGTCACTATCCGACGACAACACGGGGCAGTTCCAGTGATTAGCCAGGGTCATAATGTCCCGGTCTGCTTCTGAAAAGCACTGGACGAAAGGCACCTGCAGCCTGTTCAGAACCTGGATGAATACTTCCCGGATGAGCAAGGGACACACATACCCGCCGCCGCCCACAGAGAGTGAGTGGGCCATTTGGATCTTCTCTCTAGCACGATCCTTTAACGTTGTTAGCTTTTTATCTGAAATATCACATCCTCCATCTAACACAACATAGGGACAGATCTTACATGCAAATAGTGATTCAAAGAATTTTTGTACAACATCTGCAAAAGAATCATAGTCCCCTCCATACCGGAGATCCAAGTCTGAATTGAAACAAAGCCGGTGGAAGAGGGCATAGCCATCAATGATAATTTTTGTGTCTCGCAACTTCAAATCGGTGAAAAACTCATTACTGTGATCTTCCACAAAACTCATTAGTCCTCGGATACCCATGACTGTCTGAAAAATTGCCTGTTTTAAACAGAACACACTTTCAGTCTATGTCGGTTGCAGGGGACCGCGTCAGTTTCCAGCACCATCAAATCAACAGCCAATGTTATGAAGAGTTCTTTAAACATAACATATTTGGGGTCAGAGTCTCCGTTCTTACCTAGATTCTCAGGCAACCCCAGCTGGCTGAGAGCTTTTTCATTCTCTCTTGCTTTTCCCATATGTTACAAGGTACAAACTCAGTGGTTTCGTGGAGTCTGATCTTTGGACAGGGAGGGAGGCTGCTGCTGATTCAAAAGGAAAATCAGTTAAAGCGCATTACTGACACACTAATAATAGAACATCTGCAGACTTTGATACTGAGACAGTCACCACCCTACAACACAGCGTGTGGGGTCAAGGTAAAAGGTCCTAAGCTATAAAAGTGATACTCTCAATCTCACAAGTAATATATTGAAAAGCACTGGGCTTCTGTTAACTAAAGTGTTTAGGGTCAATAATATAGATCCAGTTTTCTATGTTGATAATCAGAGCCTAAGAATTTCTTTCAGGCCTTGGCATGTGGGCCCGTCTTAATTAGAACAGTTTTGAGGAAGGAAAACTACTCATGGAAACTACTGATGCAAGCCTCCAGGAACTTCACTCTCCAGTTTCACTCCAACTAGCGGCTCTTCTCATCTTCTTGCTTTGCATATTTAGCCCAGTTACGTAAATATCCTTCCCCATCTGGCTAACTTAAGTCTCAGGATCAGTATTACTAGTTTCTCCTTTGGCCTCAGGCTAACCCTGGCACTGTTATTGATCCCGTGTATAAACCTGTGGGACGGTTAAACATGGGGGGTTTTGGCAGTAAAATTGATTTTTAGAGATATTGCATAAGTACTCATCTATCTTGATTACAGAGTGTGGGGATTCCCCGTACACTGCCTGCCTCACTTTGCCCCAGTCTCGGCCGTATCTCAGCACCTTACCCTGGGTAGTACCCATTCTTCCGTGAGACTGTCTCGTAAAGCAAATGCGGGCAGGGACTGCGGCAACTCATCCTAAGCCGACTGCAGGACCCTGCACAGAGTAGATTCGGACTAGACAGGAGAAGGGCGCACAAAAACTTTGATCCGTGTCGTCGAGCACAGCTCTCAGACACCGCCCCTCCCGGACCCGCAGCGGCAGCGCCCACCTGCTTCGTCCTTCCAGGGGACCAGCACCTCCATCACAAGACCGCAGGAGCCGGTAGAGCCCTGGAAACCCTGACACGTGAGTCCAACCCCAAAACCGGAAGCGGAAGTCTCCGCGTATGACATCATCACGGGGGAGCCCGGTTCCGGAAGCCGGCGGCGCCGCTGGCGCAGAGGGTTAGGTGCCCTCGGGCCTGGCACGACGTTGCTCAGGAAGGCTGGGAAGCACGCTCCGGAACGCCTGCTATCAGGTTGCGGCGTCTCAGCCCACCGGGCCAGCTCCCTTTCCCCGCCCACCTGGGGTCGGCGCACACTTCCGCCTTGATGAACCACTTGGGGCCACGGCCCCCGACTTCCCGGCACGCCCCGCGCCATCTCCCTGGCAACGGCGCCTGGCAGCGGCGCCCGACTTCCCGGC